CCCAAATAATGATTCTGGCCTAATAAAATCAAAACTTTCTTCCAACAATCAGCACGCTTACTTTCCAACAATCAGTATGCTAACTAGCATATGGGACCTGCAGAAACGCAGAGAAAAATGTACATGGTCACAGAAAGGCAGAGAAAAACACACATGGCCACATCAGGCCCCATTTCCAATGCCATGCTACTGGGAGAAGACCCCAGAGAGTAAAAGGGCCCATGACTAGCTTCCATTTCCTTTAGTCAGGCCAGGTCTGAGGCACAAACTAGATAACCAGTCATTCACAAAAAAGCATTTCCCCAAGACTTAGTTATATAATAAATTATGCTTATCGGTGGTCCATCACAATGGGGGATACACTAACCCCCTCCTAGGAGTCATGACAATATTTTGTTAACCCACAGGAAAGTGTGGGGGAAGTTGTTACTTGTACCTCAAGAGTAGAGGCCAGGAATACCTGACCATCCTACAACTGGTAGGAAAGTCTCTCCCCCATACTCTCTGCTAGTAACAAAGATTATCCACTACTCCTCCATGTACACAGCTGACAAGTCCTGGGTGTACATAGCTAGTTAGCTAGTATTGTGGGTCAAGTGGCCATTTGTTTGAGGCACAGAGGTTAGGAAGAGGGAAAGTGCAGGATCCTTCTTCCCTAGCTTACCAAGGTATGATATCAACCCAGCACTTCGATACAAGGCACCAGGACTACTATCTTCAGAATATAAACATAGAAAACCCTCTACTCGTGCATCATTTTAACTTTGCCCTCACTGTCAATATACACCAACTTTCCAGGGACTAATTAGAAGAAAAATATATGATTTCTAATAAAAAATGATGTAGTGTTTTAATGCTCCGAGTAAATGCAATTTATAGTGGAAAATTGCCTGTCCTAGCTAGTTTTATGTCAACTTGATAAAAGCTTAAGTCATCTGACAGGAGAGAATCTCAATTGAGAAAATGTCTCCACAAGATTGGACTATATGCAAGTCTGTAGAGCATGTACTTAATTATTGATTGATGTGTAAGCACCCAGTCAGTTGTAGGTAGGGTCACCCTGAATGGTGCTCTTAAGTTCTATAAGAAAGCAGGATGAGAAAGCAAGTAAGCAGTACTCCTCTGCATCAGCTCCTGGCTCCAGGTTCCTGTCCTGTTTCAGTCCCTGTCCTGACTTGCCTCAGTGATGAACAGTGATATGGAAGCACAAGCTGAATAAACCCTTTCCTCCCCAAGTTGCTTTGGTCATGGTGTTTCTTCACAGCAGCAGTAACCTAACTAAGACACTGCCTAACACTTACTGCTCCTGCCACATCACATGACATTCTCCATGCTTCCTGTGGATGAATTCCATAGAAATCTCAAGTTGCTACTAAGTCCAGGGTGCATCTGAGTCTGTCTCTATGTATCTGTGTTTGTCTCAGTGTTCCATATTTCCAGAGCACACACCCTCACCTGCAATGCAAGACATGCACTGCAGGCAGCTACAGTCTCAAAAAGGATTGCTTAGACTTCTGCTTCCAACAACTGAGAGGTTCAGCTCGGACTTCCTTTAGACCATGAGCCCTATTCTCTGACTCTGCCTGAAATAGAATATCCAGAAATAACAATATGCAGATTGACCAGTCCCAAATTCCAAAGCACTACACACTAGAGAGGAGTTAAGAGAAAACTTTTAAACAACATTAGTTTTTTAATGAAATCTAGCTTGGGCATTACTATGATACTTGTTCAGTCAAATGATAATTCTAAGACAAACATATTTAAGATGTTAATATACCATTAATTTCTTGGCTGGTTTGCTTATTAAAACGCATGTTTAACAATACGTTTTAAAAACAATTTCATAATACCACATTCTCTGGATTATGAAGCACCTTGTTCCAAGATAAATACAGGAAACATTCCCAACCAAATGGCATGTAGACAAAATTGTCTACCTTTAATTTGTGTTTTCACTAATTGGCTCCTGGGGGGGGGGATTTCACACAAAACAATCACTTAGTGTATTGTCAAGTACTTAGGGCAAGGAGCAAAGTTCAGAGGTCCTGGGCATTTTCAATAGGGCTCTACTTCCTGTCTTGCAATGCCCACCAGCTCACAAAGAAGAATTCTGGCTGTTTTACCACCTGCTTACTTAGCTCCAGCCAAAACAGAATCACAATCAAAGCCAGGTGATTGCTGAGCCATTGCCTTCAGCCTTCAAGAGAAGAGCACACCTCAATCAGTATCACAGGTACACTTCCTAATCTGTATTCTGTAAAAGCAGGAGTCCCTGTATAATGTTGATATTCCTTTTAGCATTCTGAAACACTAAAACACAGTATTCTAAAATATATATTGTTCAAAAACTTCCTCCAAAAGCATTCTGAATTTTTATATTAAATAAGCATATTAAACTTCTCTTCTAGGGAAAAAATAGTATTCTTGCCCAGGTTAAAAAAATTAAATAAAAATATTATGTAACTGTTTCTGACACATTCCTTTCCAAACCAATCAAATAACAGTGTCTACTTGGTGTTCCCACTAGAATTATGATCCTCCTAAAGCTTCGACGGCATCTTTGCTTCTGATCTCTGTCTTAAAAGTTCTTTTCCTGGTGGCTAGGGACACTGCTAGGACTTACTACCAGTGCCATCTGAGGAGTTAAACTGCCATATTCTTCAGAATGAACATCCAGCCGAATTAATACCAACAGTCGCAATAACCCAACTTTTTAAATACATAAATCCAAATTATCAGCTAATCACAGTTTCACAGCTTTTTACATTAGTAAGCAGTTTTGAAAATTCACGCTTTTATGGCAGAGAAGCTCTTCCTATAAGCCATACTTCCTCAACAGTTAGCAAGCGATCTGCACCTCTCCATTCTCTGTTTTCTTCAACAACACAGGGTTGGGTAAACTACACGACTGAATCACACTGAATGAAAGAGATACTAACGTGTCAGAGGCCCAAACAAAACCACATCTAGCGCTTTGAGTTGAAGTTTCTGTCTGTGACTCCGGTCGCTGATTTTCAACTGGGAAATCATAAATGAAGTTTCATGAACTGCTATCCTGTACATAGAAAAAAAGTTTACATGTGGTAAACAAAGTATTTCTAATGTGTAAATTTCAATTCATGAACAACATATTTACTACTTCACATACTGGTGATCACTATTGAGAGCTCAAAACAGCTACTGAAAGCCTTCCTTAGGCTAATAATTGTGTTGCTATATTGTTGAGCTGTTGTTTTCTAAAGCTACTTCCTATTATAACTTACTATAATTGAGAAATTATAAATATTATAAAGTATTTTCTAATAATTAATGTCAGCATTTTCACAAAGAAAAAATAGATACGAAACTTACTAATAACTTTAGCAGATGTTAAAAACAGTTCTTACTTTAGGACCTTTTAGTTAGCAGTAGCTGAAAAAGCTCTCATTACACTCATAGTGTTTGTTTAAAATGAACAAAGCATGCTGAAAACCAAAAAGGAAGTTAGGAAGTCTTCTTGGGTAGATTTGCAGGGTGGAGGGATTCATGCAGTTCTTGGGTGGGTTAGGAGGTACACATAAGAGAATACTCAGAAGCTTGGGGCCAGCTAACCAGGTATGCGCAAACACAAGTAACGAAGACGCCCTGTCTCAAGCAAGGGGGAAGGCATAGACCATCATCTGAGGTTGTCATCCAACTTCCACACACATGCTGTGCCATCTACAGGTACCCACACTCATGCCACAAACACACACACATACTATATATGCACACACAAAGAATCAAACTATAACAAAGTAAGACAATAGATCAAGTATTTAAAACAGATACAATTATAGTATTTCCTTTACACTATCAGCCCCAGAATTACCTTGTAGGTTCAGAATTGAAAAGCAGCATTATCTAAAATATACTTCTCAATGCATGTAAACGCGCCCCCCACCCCTATAACTACTGACCTGGGAAGTGTGGTTCCCTTTACATTATTATCCCTAAAATTCTTCTCATATTGTGGGAGTTCAACAAATTCTATCAACCACTGCAGGGTGTCCTCAAGTGTCCAATTATGAACTGCAAGGCAAAAAAGAAGGTATATTTTAAAGTACACCATTTTCAAAATTAAAATCTGCACACAGCTATATAACTTTAGAGAAGCAAAGATGGAAGATTAAATTTTCAATTATATTCAATAAACAAAACTAAAATAGTGTCTAGCACTCTATGGTAAACTGAAAATAATGAGACCCACACCTGCTTTCCTAAAGACATAGAATCTAAAACAAAAGAAACACATAAAAACAATAAAGACAAATAGTAGTCAGACTAATTCTAAAATAAGCATCAATGCAGAGTTTTTAAAGGGTGAAATAATCTATTTCCCTGGGTGAAGATAACTTACCAGATACAAATTTAATTAACACTTCTCCTAGACCATCAATGCATAATACTGTGAAATACCTTCCGAGAGCCAGGTCCAGCCTAAGCACGGCTGCACATGGTAGCGAACAAGATAAGCGAAATGTTTGTCCCTGTGGAAGCTAAATGCCTCAGACAGTATTCAGGTGAGGCAACTCAGAAATAAAGAGAAGGGGGAAGGAAAAATTTAAATCATGTTAGTCATTAAGGAAAATGGGGGAGGGGAAATCTCTCAATCAATCTCTCTCTGTCTCTCTGTCTCTCTGTCTCTCTCTCTCTCTCTCTCTCTCTCTCACACACACACACACACACACACACACACACACACGGGGGGGTCTCCGAAGTAACTATATCAACTAATACCTAAAATTAAAACCCATAGAAGTCTAAAAATCTGAGATAAAAACATCTCAACCAGAAAGGAACACTAACATAAAGCCCATGAATAGATAGATAATCCTGCTGGGGTTATGTTTGTGTATGTGTGTGGTGGTGGTGGTGGTGGTGGTGGTGGTGGTGGTGGTGGTGGTGGTGGTGGTGGTGGTGGTGGTGGTGGTGGTGGTGGTGGTGGTGGTGGTGGTGGTGGTGGTGGTGGTGTGGTGGTGGTGGTGGTGGTGTTATTTGAGAAACAGGAGAAAATCAGAGGGGACCACACTAGAAAAGATTGGATTTGACCACAGAATCTTACTCTGCACTACTTTGAAAGTAACAACTAAGAGCAAAGATACAAAGAAGAAAGCAATGAGACTCAAGCAAGAGGCTTTTGTCTGCCTGCAGTGTGTAATGGGCTACAATGAGTTTATCCAAGGGAAGGCTGTGAGTGTGCTTGAAAAATGGAGCGTTGCATACTGTCTGCGTTTAATCTGAGGATTTGGGAAAACGAAGTGTTTACAGACTACACAAGAGGGCAAATGGGGCTGAAGACAACAAGGAAGCACTGAACACAGTACTGTGAATCCATCTGTGCAGAAAAGGATTTAGGAAAAGAGCATTCTCATAAATTATAGAAAATTCTGAATTCACATTTACATGCAATGTTTTTACAGTCTGCCTTTTTCAATATGTGATCTTTAAAGAGAGAAACTTGAACAAATCACAATAACTAATAAAAACTTTATTTTAAAACTGTATGTGCCAAGTGGCAATTTTATACTGAGACAAAGCTGTTTTCTTTTTAATAGAGCTCTGTCACAACGTCTGTATATGGGCCTGAGGCTGCTGGATCCATGGAGCCAAACAAGCGAAGCTACCAGCCAGGAGCTCAGGCCTGGATGCCTCCTGCTGAATCTAATCCAGTCAAAGTAGGCTTTTTACATGAAGGCTTCTCTTCCTTCTGAGATGACGACATGGAGAACTGCCCCATCTGACTGCCAAGAAACCCACAGCACAGCTGCACTGCACACACCCACACAAACTCTCAGCCAAGAAAACAGGAGAAGATTCTCTCTGGCTTTTGATTTTTCAATAGTAAAAGACCCGATCTAAGCAATCCAGCACATCAAATACTGCCCCAATTTTCAAGGAGACCAGTTTCAAGGAAGAAAATCAAATAAAAACAGTGTGAAACAGCCCAGTCCTATTACTTACTACTCTACCTGAGTAGGCAGTTGTGGTTCTCAAGTAGCTTTGCAAAATTAGTTTCTTTTGAAATGTATTTTTAAAACAACACAACTCTAACACAAGGCAGAGTTACTGGAGGGACAAAACTCACTTTTCCGTTTGCTATCTGAGTTCCTTGAAGACACCTTGCAAATACCTTTTCTTCTCGTGACTAGGAGCTCCCTTTGCTCCAAAGACTGCCTGTCTTTCAGTCCTCAGAGCAATGCATCGTTATCCATTTTATCCTACCGTCTCCTGTATTTTACTGAACTCCTTTGGTAGCTGAAACTTCAAATCTTCATAAATCATTCTGGAATTTAATTAATTACAGTTACATATAAGAAAGGAAATTCTTTCAGTATCTGCTTATTCTACTAAAGGATGTGTAAGACCACTCTATGCTAGGCATTCATGCACAAATTATTTGTTGGCTGCCACATAATAAATGAAGTAGATCAGACTTAGGGTAAGCACTATAAAGTCTATTCACACTGCAATGTGGAAATTAATTTGTTTGCATAAGAAATCCTCAATGTCAAAGAGCCGTCTGAGGCTACCCTGTCCCTTTGCCCGCCTGTAACTGAGTGTGTTTATGCTGCACAGCTGAGTTGTACCTACACCAGAGGGTAGCAGGGAAGGGCACATTTTTAAAAATGTAGTTTCAAAGTATTTTTGCTCAAAACTGTGGCAAGTGCTATAGGTTGATGCTTCAGTAAATTTTTTCCAGTATTTTTACCATCATCTTTATTATTGAAAAACAAACCAAAATATAATCAGTTTATTTACGTTTTAGCCAAGAAATCCACAAAATGTAAAGCTGACAGTCGGTGGTTTATACAGTGGGTGGTTTTTTGGTTTTGTTTAGTTTGTTTTCGGCACGGGTTTGTGAGACAGGATCTCATGTAGCCTACAACAGCCTAAAATTCGCTATGCAGCTGAAGATGACATTCAACTCTGATCCTCCTTCATCTACCCCTCCAAATGCTAGATTACAAACATGCCACCATGCCCAGCCTACATTTTTCAACTGTTTAACTTATACATTCTAATTAAGGGGACTTGATGGCCTCTGGTCCATGTGCTAAATATCATACAACCAAGCACATGAAAATAGTAAAATAATGCATAATCAAGGAAACACCTAATTGTCATGGGCATACATACTATAGCACAAGTAACAGAGACAGCCACAATTCATAATGCATAATGGAGAACCTAAGAGAGAGAGGAGCTAAGCCCTGGGATGCAGGGAAGGTGCATTCAGAAACTTCACAGACCAGATGGCTGTGCCCAGGCGAGGCAGGAAGCAGATGTCAAGAAACCAAAATGGACAAGACCAAAACCAAGCTGGAGATGCACTAACTGTTCAAGAGGTATGGAATAATTTATTCTGGGTAAAGAGAGGTACTCTGCTCTAAAATAAAGTAAGTAGCAAGCATATAAAGCTCAGAGAGAATCCAGGGCTGCTCTGGCCCTCAGATCTCACCTGCGCCTTCCTTGGACTCCATTCCTTACACTGCGCTCACTGCACAGCCTGAATGCTCTCAGCACATGCACCCGATGTGCGTGCCTTCAAGACAGTGAAAAAGGTCCCAGAAAACAGAGCTTACCCCAGATAAAAATCCAACATTAAGGCAAGCATCCTCCTGTAACACTACACTGACAGCTTATTTCAGCCTCTTCTGAGCCAACTGCAAATACGCTCACCCTGTGCCATTCTGGAAGCACAGCATTGCTGAGTCAGATTCCTTGTGAGGTAGTTCAAAAGTTTTCAAACAGCAATTTCACAGATTTGCCTATACTACCATGGATGATTACGGCTGACACCAAACTCTATGTCCTCTGCCATCTCAAACTATTAAAAAATCTTTTCCTTCAGTTTTTACCAAATTCACAAAAAAAAAACAGAGATGAAGGTGCAAAACTGTCAAAATGTCAAAACCAATAGCAAAGGCCAAGTAAGAATGTGTGTGATCACCCTCACAGTCCAAACCTCCCTAAAGAGTTAAAAAAAAAAACTGTACTTGGTTTATCAAAGCTTCAGGCATCTTATAAAGTACTCTAGGGATTTAGAGAACTAAAGAGGCTGAGGCAGGGGAATCACAAGTTCAAGGTCAGCCAGAGCTTCATATTTCACTCCGACCGTATAAACAACTAACACCGAGGCATTATCAATGGAGTTCTTCCATAGGCCACGCCTTTAAGGAAAGTGTCCGGCAGGACTACAGGCTGCGTCCCAGGCAGAGTGCTCTTAGGTCGGCTTTAGAGGTGCAGGGATATTGGCAGATGCCTGCTCCAGGTAGGCCAAGGAGCCCTGAGGGATTTCAGCTGGCTTCTTATGCTGCACAGTGGTGTCCTCCAGCACCTGCTGCCAGCACCTCAGCTTTGTCAAGTGCTTCTGGACCAGCGCATCTTTCCGCTGCAGTTCGCTCCTTAGCTCTGAGACGTCCTCTTTATAACTGGATCTGGTTTCTGGACAGACAACTGCAACCTTCTTTGTAAGAAAAAACATTCTGTCTGTCTTGCAATGTCCAAAAACTTCTGGATACACTGAGCAACACCAGTTCAAATTTCCTCCTGATCTGTTCCATTAACATAATCCTGACTCACAAGGGAGGCAAAGCAAGCCTCAAAAGATGACTCCAACTGGTCCACCAAAGTGCTGTGAGAGGGTCTCCAAGCCCCGGGCACTGCTTGCAGAAGGGAGGCCTGGCCTGGGAGGCCGGGCGACAGTGCCAGGGAACCAGGGGGCTGCCCGAAGAACATACTGCCAAGAGACCCCACCATGTCTCTGCTTCAGTAATTTTTACAACTAGTTCCAACACTAACCAGTCAGTCAGTGTCATCACAGCTGGGCTGTTTAACTCAGGTTCAGTTTTTAAATGAGCAGACTAATGAACTGAGCTAAGCTATCCTTCAAATCCTGTCTTTCCAACTCCATTATAACATAAGAGGGCTGCTGCCTGAAGCACCACAAACTAAACAGTCAACCTAGAACACTTCATTACAGACTGCTGACAGGGAGAATCGAATTCTAAAAACAGCCAGGACACCAATAAAAACAGTTGATAACATTAACAATTTACTACATACCAGATTTATGAATGTTATTTCACAGGTACACTGCAGCAACTATAAAGTGAACACTTTTATTTATCCACTTTTATTCTCATGCTGAGCTTACACTTTTCTCGAGGTAAAACTCTTAATTAGATTTAACAAATTAGTAAATGGGCACAATAGGTTTCAGACCAAGCTGTTTCTAGAACTGCTGTTCACTGGGCAGCAGCATAACCTCTGACCCTCACAGTCTGCAGCTTTTTAATGAGCTGTGTGTCCCTGTATCCCCTGCCACTCTTCAACTCAGAGTAGCGCTATCTGCCTGCCTGGTCCTCACTCTTTATGACTCAAATTAGGAACGCCTTCCTCCAGATATTTTACCTATCACCCATTTCAATATTACAGCTATCCTCTTTTGCGTTCTTTCTTCATACATGGATCTATCATGAGACTAACCAAATATACATGTAATCATCCTCAACCAACTCTACAGGATGAGTGCTAAGAGAACAGGAATTTAACTTTTTAAAAAGTGGTTTGCATTATTTATTGTGAGTGTACACATATGCAAATAAGTGTACACATATGTGTTTTAGGTATGGAGGTAAAGAACAATTTTCAAAAGTCAGTTATCTCCTTCCACCTGTCAGTTTCAGGAATCAAACTCAGATTTGGCAACAATTCCCTTTACCTGCTGAGCCATCTTGTTAGCCCAGGAACTTATTCTTTTATTAAAATGTCATTCCTTTAATTAAGGAATTTTGTTTAAATATACACTTACACATCCATTTTTATCTGTACCCTATACCTAGAGTGAGATGTAGCTGTTATCTCTATATTTTATAAAGACACACCTGGTCAAGTGATCACATATATGGTCACACATGTCTATCAACTGACATGCGTAAAGCGTATTCACTAACTGTCGTAGATTATTTTAACTATGTAAAGAAGTGTTACATTTGTTTATGCTGTAGAATATTACCTTAACTGTATAAGGGTGTGTTACTTTTGTTTATGCTGCATTTGTTTAATCATGAAAAGATGTGTTGCATTTGTTTCACCTTGCCTGCCTAAGGCACCTGATTGGTCTAACAAAGAGCTGAACAGCCAATAGCTAGACAGAGAAAGGATAGGTGGGACTAGCAGGCAGAGAGCATACATGGGACATGAAATGTAGGCTCAAAAAAGAAGAATGAGGAGGAATGGAATGAGGAGGAGGAGAATGAGGGAGACACTGGGGACAAGAAGACAGACACAGAGAAGCAATGAAAGTAAGATATACAGAAGAAAAGTAATTAGCCCGGAGGCAACAAGTAGAAAAAGAGAAATAGGTTAATGTAAGTTAAAAGAGGTAACCAGAAAACATGCCTAAGCTAGGCCAAGTATTCAAATGAATCATAAATCTCCGTGTCATAATTTGGGAACTGGTTGGTAATCATATATATATATGTGTGTGTGTGTATACACACACACACACACACACACACAAAGACCTAGTACAACTAATACTTGAGATATTTTTTTCTTAGAAATTGAGTACTAATAGCATACAAATGTAGAATGTTATCAACAAGTAATATACTACAAATGTTTGCCTCAGTGGACTTGTGGACCTCCATGAGATGTCAGGCATACATGAGGCTACTGAAGTTAGAGGTGGTAACATAAAGGCTCAATGGAGTTATATGAATTTTTCATGATAGACGATATGCATGTGTGCATGGGAAGAGACACTCTAACACCTGAAAGTAATATTTCAAAGAGCCTGTGTGTGTGCTTGCCATAGAGATCAGGCTGGCCTCATACTCAGAGACTCACCTGCCTCTGCCTCCTGTATGCTGGGATTAAAGGTGAGCACCAGCACACTTGGTGAGAGCTCTGAAGAGCAAGAGTAGTAGGAAAAAGGACGAGCAGAACCAGAACTTCAGGAAAGGTGGAGCTGTGATACAGGATGTAGATGGGCAGACATCTGGATACTTGAAAAAAGTTTTTTGCTAACAGGGCAATTTCTGCAGTTCCTCATTTTGAAAAAAGAAAAAACTGTTGCTTCCGTCCCCTCTCACTCTCTACTTGCCAGTCCTACCACAATGTAGCTATTTTGGAACAGCACATGAAAAAGATGAAAACTAGGCCTACGAAGTGAAAGTTTTTTGAAAAGAGCAGGGTTCAAGAAATGAGAGTTAAGAAACAGGAAGGGGTGGATACATCAGTCAACAGAGGCCACTATGTCCCGACTGAAACAGCCTT